AAGCTACCAGCAAGTTCGTCAGACACGAAAATCATTTGGGAAAATCACGTTGCTCGATGCTAAGCTGGTTAAACATAATTAAATGGTTCTCCACTATATCTCGTACTAATGTTTCTAGTAACTTAATCACCCCGCTAGTCAAGATGACAGGCCTGTAATCAGCCGGCGGGTCTGTCACCGCACTGGAAAATCGGGCAGACAAGGGCCTCCTTCCACACAGTAGGTAAGACACAGCTGTTGAATGACTTCTGAAACACACAAGTCAGAGGTCCACTGAGTTCCACTGCCAATTCGTGCAATAATTTTGGATGAACAAAATCTGGCCCAGAAGCCTTAGTTGGGTTTACCTCTCTTAGCAATCGGAGAACTTAAGACTCAGTTACAGGAATTTCATCCAGACAACAGTGTTCAGAGACTCTTGAAGCTAACTCTTTGCATGGCGTATTTGTTTCGCGGACAAAGACGCTTGAATACTGCTCACCAAGCACCCATGCCTCATCACAGTCGCTATAGGCATGGGTCCCATCTCGAAGCAATAGTGGTATGGGCAAGTTTGCACCACAGCGTCGTTTAACGTAAGCGAAGAATTTCTTGGGATTTTTTGAGGCAGTATCAGCTAAGCTCTTATCATACTGAAGCCGGGCCAACCTAAGATACAGCTTGCACTCATTTCGAACCAAGGAATATTCGTCAAACCTGCTATTCGATGTAGCTGTTCGGTACGCTTACCAGCATCTAGACTGCTTCTTTAGCAGTCCCTTCCCCGCGGAATCTAACCACGGAGGCTGCGCTCTCGATTCCCTTCTTTTTACCAGTGGGATGCGAGGTGCAGAAATGCCGACGAGGTGAAGCTTAAATTTTCTCAGCCTATGTGAACAGTGTCAGTCCCAGATATCACACAAAAAGCGATGACCTAGCTTTATCCCGCATCGCTTGGAAGTCCGCGGCTCAAATGTTCGGATACCAACTGCTAAGGGTACACTATAAAGACAAGCAAACGTGATAGCTGGTGCCAAGAGGCGAGTCGTAATTAATGTCATTTACAAAGTCAACTGACTTAACAAAAATGAGATCTAAAATGGACGGCTGCAGATTTCTCATGTACCTAGTGAGGAGGTCCACGAACTGGTGTAGTGGTATCTGCAGTGTTAAGTCCAGCAGTTCTGTACCGAACGATCCCAGCGCCGAACTGCAAGATAGATGATCCCAACAAACCTCTGGGAGGTTGAAGTCTCCCAGCGCCAGACACTTGTTCGCAGAGTGAGTGCGTGTAAACTCAATGATTCCATTGGAGGTACTCATAGGGCTTCTATACACTAACACGACCGTACGCTGAACCGAGGAAGCACAAATCAAGACTGCGAGAGCCTCGACAGCTTTGTCGAGAGTGTGAAGAACGCCGGTCCACAATACGTCGATGTGATAACTCACTTAAAGAGCTACGCCACCCCCTTGACGGCCAATGTAGCGGTCAGCGCGGAACAGTGCATAGCCAGGCAGATATACTTCGCCATCTGTGATTTCCTCACACAGCCACGTTTCAGTGAAAGCAAGTATATCGACGAGATTTGTCTACGAGCAGGCCCACCTCGCACATCTCGTTCCTCAGGCTACGCACGTTACTACTAATTGGAGGACTTCAGCACGACCAGCCCTGGGTCATGCGCAAACAGAATAAGTTCTGGCAAGGCGGAAAAGGACCGCCGGATGACCACTGAAAACCCATCAATCGGAGACTTTGCTCGCCAGCTGCACGCCGGGCTTTTAGGTCACAGATGGCTTCCTTTAACTTTAACCTATCCGCTAACATTGCTATCTTTGAGTTTGAAGGCAAATCGCAGTAAGGCCCTGTGCTCTTCCGGGGTGGAGAGGACCACCCTAAGCAGGTGGGGTCGAGGATTTGGTTGACCAACCGGAACGTTCCCCAACCTGATGAGCTTCCTGACAGTAACGCCAGGGAAACCTGGTGGTAAAGGCCTGGTCACGCAAACTTTAAGCCAACCAAGATCATCAAGCATACACTCGGTGGGAAGAGCGGCAGTGGATGCAGTGACGTTTCTGAAAATCACACTGCTATCTGTGTAAAAATCGCCCCCACGGTGTGTATTTACTCCACATGCTCTACCATCCACGACACATGGTTGTTTGACAGGAATCGGTGGAACAGAAGGCGACGGCACCTCATGTCTCACTGAGGGAATTGCAACAACAGGTGGTGTTTCCAACTCAGGCTTTTGTTTCTTGGGCATTTTATCACCTCCCGGTCTGGGGGCGCAGGGTTTGCGCGCTTTCCTTGCCCTCTTCGCACATTCTTTACTGGCCCAGGAGACCGTGACTCGCCTGCCATTTGAGGCGGGTCAACAATGCCGTCCGAGGCATCTGCCAGTTATCTCCATGTAAACAGGAGCGTCAAGTAGGATAAACGCCTTGTCAACGGATGGACTGTCAGCAGAAGGACAGTCCGTCACAGCGTCCACATTCGCAATATTCAGGGATTCCATAACCAGATGCACTTTAGAGTTGAGCCAGGCAAGAGGCAAGCTCGGCTAACGTCTTCTCAAGAAATGTGAAGCTGGATGCCAGTGCTCTGAATACAGCAAAGGTGAAAGTCGGGATTTTCGATTTTTGAGCGCAACAAAAAGCACATCTAAACGGAAGATTTTAACTGGACGATAGCATACTGTACTGATTCGCTCTTGGGCCGGAACAACTTTCCTGATACCAGCGGCAGCAAACACCACACTGCATACCACCAGATGAATCCGTAACTGGCATGGACCAGGCAGAATTCCTGCAAGCTGCATTTGACTCATCAAAGATTCAGATACATGTGGACTGGAACGATAGGAAAATCCCTTGTGTGTTCTTTCTTGAGCGGATCGTTGACCCAGGAAATGGGAACGTGCTAGGAGGTCTTGATAGATCTAACATGAAACACCCAAAACACATCCTGGTTAACCAATTACTGCTCACCTTCCATGCACTAGCAGTCCCCGCTGTGTAGGTCACGTGAAGTAAGAAAGAAGTAGAAAGAACATGGAAGAAAAAAGGAATGAAAGTCATTTAAATGAAGGATGACACCGAAGAGTGAAGAGAAAGCCAGAATATGAACTAAAAGTTGGAAGATGCATTTGGTCAGGAGAACTGAAAGGTTTCGTGTTGCCAACGAAATACGTCTAACTGACGCTCGAAACCCTTATCCGTAGGTTCACTGACTACACTTTCTGGAAACAGGTTCCAGCGCTCGATAAGTACGCGATAACCGAGTTCCCGCCCTGATTCGGTCAGAACGCGGCTTGTATAGCATCATGAGATGACCGCGAAGCCGAGGCAACCTAGCCGGCCTAAATAGCCAGCTCAAGTCTGGTCCAACCTTCCCTGTTAAAATGCGGTAAGCAAGGATTAGGTCTCCTTGAAGCCGTCGGTAGTGCATTGAGTACCTACCCAAGTTAAGTAGACGCTCCGCGTGCGATTTATCCCCTAACCCCTCGACCAATTTGGTACCCGCTCTCAAAACCCTCTCCAACTCCATTTTGTCTCGATCAAGACAGGGCGGGCAAGCCTGGACGCAGTATTCCAGATTGGGCCGAACGAAAGCTGAGAACAGTTTCGCAAATATGTCGACAGTTAAGACCCCGAGAGAATGGCGTGTTAACCACAACACCCTGAAACCCCTACTAGCGGCCTTCTTCCAGTTGTCACCAGAATGCAAAGATGAGAAATGAACGACGCGTAGATCTACCTGGTTGGAGCCAAAGGGGAGTTTGACCCCACCGAGCTCGTACCTCAAAGGTGGGAAAGTTGCTCCTTTACGAAGGACGGAACACAGCCTGATTAATGAGTAGTAGCTACAAAGCAGACCGGTCCTAGAGTCTGTCCAGGGCATGCTGTATGGCCTCAGAACCCCCAGGAACATTTACAACATTCCATAGCTTAAGGTCATCAGCAAACAATAGGGATGATACCCCAAGCTCTCCAGGGAGATCGTCTACGTAGATGGGGAACAGCATCGGTCCAAGGACCGAGCCCTGTGGGACACCGCTAAGGACCGCTTGCCTAAAGGATAAGCTGCGACCCACACGTACACACTGCTCTCTTCCCTGCAAGAATGCAGATACCCAGTGAAGGGCGCGGCCAGATACGCCGTAGGAGCATAGCTTTTGTGATAGCCGCAACTGGGGTACCTTATCAAATGCTTTCGAAAGTCTACGAAAAGCACAGCCACTACATGGCCATTGTTCATTACTTCTGACCAAGCTTCACGAGCAAACAACAAATTCGTCAGACAAGAAAACCGCATACGGAATTCGTGTTTGCACTATTGATCAGATTAAATCTATTCAGGTGACCTTCCAACGAATCTCTCACCAGCTTTTCAAACAGTTCGACCACGACGATAGTCAGACTGACTGGCCTATAATTGCCTGACAGACTCCTGCCACCATTTTTGAAGACAGGACAGATGACAGCCTCATTACATTCAGGTAATGTACAACTCTCAAGTGACTACTGAAACACCATCGTCAGCGGTCCACTTAGTTCTACTGCCAGCTCATGCAGAAGCTTCGGGTGAATATAATCAGGTACAGCTGCTTTGGAAGGGTTCAGTTGTTGCAGCAGGTTCAAGTTCAAGTTCAAGTGGGACTGGAACAGTAGGATAAATCCCCGTGAATGTTCCTTCCGTGACGTGCCGTTGATCCAGGGTATTATTCGTCCGCGATAACGGAAATCCAGAAGTGTCAGATCAGCGCGCGCGAATCACACTACGGTCAACCAATTACTAACCACGCGACCTGCACTGGCAGTCCCCGCCGCACCGGTCACGTGAAATAAGAAAGAGAAGTACGAAAGCAATAAGAGCGTCAAGAAAGAAAAAAACTTAATAGATTTAATAATTCAATAAAACGAATAAACTAGGACGTGAAGGGGAATGTTAAGAAGTGAAGGCCAAGAGCGTCGAGTCGGTGTTCGAACTCTTTCACTGTTGGTGCCAATACCACGTTTTCGGGCAGTGCATTCCAGGAATCCACCACTCGGCGTGATAAACGAAAGTCCGTCCGGACTCCATCCGATCGAGGTTTGTTTGCTTCAGCGAGTGACCTCGGAGCGATGGAAGTCGAGCCGGTTGGAAAAGCCCGGATAGATCGGGTCCGATTTTACCGGTAAGTATACGATAGGTCAAGACTAGGTCGCCTTGATGTTGACGATAGTGCATCGAGAACATTCCCAGCGCAAGTAGCCTTTTTGGGTAAGAATGGTTCCGCAGTCCATGGACCAGTTTGGTTCCAACTCTCAACATTCTCTCCACTGACATCCTGTCCCTGACTAAGCAAGGTGGACAAGCCTGGATACAGTATTCCAAGTATGGCCTGACAAACGCTGAGAATAACCTAACAAACATAGCGCCCGTGATGGTCTCGAATGCCCTGCGGATCATCCACAACATTCTGAAACCCTTACACGTAGCTTTCCTCCAGTTCTCACTGGATTTAAGTTCTGAAGACAATGTGACCCCTAGGTCTACCAACTGGGTAACATGGTGGAGTTCATTACCGCCAAGAAAATAACGCGTTTGGGGGCTATTTGGCCCTACTCGTAAGATGGAACACTTTGCATAGTTTATGGGCAACTGCCACAGAGCAGCCCAGTCCCAAAGTTTATCGAGGGCCCGTTGCAGAGTCTGGGGTCCATCGAAGTCAGACACTATGTGCCAAAACTTTAGGTCATCTGCAAACATGAGAGATGGTACCTCCAACAGTTCGGGCAGCTCGTTGACGTACAAGGAAAATAACAACGGGCCAAGCACCGAACCCTGAGGGACCCCACTGAGGACTGACTGTCGGAAAGACAGACTAGATCCGACACGAACACACATCTCTCTCCCTTCAAGAAACGTGGTGATCCATTTTAGTACACCCCCGGATATTCCATAGGACCGAAGTTTCAAGGAAAGGAGAGAATGTGATACAGTGTCGAACGCCTTGGAGAAGTCAATAAACACGACATCTACTGCATGACCCCGATCCAAAGCATCCGCCCAACATTCGCGTGCAACTAGCAAATTAGTCATACAGGAATGACCCTTGCGAAAGCCGTGTTGCAGTGGACTGAGCAAACCATACTCCCGCAGGTGGTCTTCAAGCACATCACTGACCAACTTCTCCAATACCTTGACCAGTACGCTTGTCAAACTTACTGGTCTATAATTGGCAAGATGCTTGTCGCCCTTTTTAAAAATCGGGCAAACGATAGCATCCTTCCAGTCCTTAGGAAAGGAGCAGCTGCGAAGCGACAATTGAAACAAACGCGTCACTGGGCCACATAGCTCGCTTGCTAGTTCGTACAGAAGCTTAGGGTGAATATCATCCATCCCAGCGGAGTTAGCAGGATTTAGAGCCTGAAGAAGATGGAGAACTTTTGCCTCCGAAATTGTGACGTGTGTTAAACAGGAGTCCTGGGGGACTGTCATTGCTAGGTCAAGATGCGGCAATTGCTCATCCTGAACAAAAGTTCCGGCATACTGCGCACTCAGTAGACATGCTTTTTCGTGATCAGTGGTGGCAGTGGCGCCGTCGCTGCCTAATAACACTGGGATAGATGAGCCAACGTTACTACGCCTTTTGAGGTAGGCAAAGAATCTTTTGGGATTCGCGGAGGCTGTTAGCCAGCTCCATCTCACAGCTAAGTCTAGCAGCTTGTAAATGACTTGCAAGCATTCCGAGCTTCCCGATAACGCTGAAAAGTACATTCTGAGAGAACTGTTCGGTAGATCCGCCAGCATCTTGCCCGTCTATTCATTAGCTGATGTGCGACTGAGTCTAACCATGGTGGCTTCGTTTTGGCACCCTTCTTTAGCGAAAGAGGGATGTGCGGATGGGATATGTTAAAGAGGAAAGACTTAAACGTATCCCAAGCCGTCTGTATATCATCATCCGGCAAGATGATGCATGGGAAACTTACTGCCTTGGCTCTAATAGACGGAAAGTCAGCGTGCCAAATGTTCGGAGTCGGGACCCTGCGTGAATCGTAGTCTCTAATGAGAGCACAAGTGAATGACAAACACGTATGGTCACTGGCTCCCAAAGGGAGGCCGTACTCAAGGTCACTCACAAAGTCAACCGACTTTGCGAAAACTAGGTCCAACAGCGAAGGAGCTTGACCCACCATGTACCTGGTGGGTCGATCGACAAATTGGTGTAAGGGTACTTCTAGTGGTCCCATCATCCAGAGTGGTCCCATTATTTGGTATGCACTTCGCACCTTCAAAGTGTAAAGTGTTGCTGCAGGACCACCAGCCACTCGATGACCCCTTGGCGCTTGCTAACGAGGAACTCGAGGTGGTTGATCAATTCACTTATCTTGGCAGCTGCATCAGCAATGATGGGCGCATAGAAACTGACGTGAGCTCACGCATTGCAAAGGCCAGAGCTGCCTACTTGAACCTGCGTCATGTTTGGCGACAGATGGGAGTTTCCCTCCGTCTGAAAGGCCGTGTATACAAGGCCACAGTGAGGTCCGTTCTGCTCTATGGTAGTGAAACTTGGCCCCTTCGGTCGGAAGATCTGAGGCGCCTTCAAGTCTTTGATCATCGTTGTTTGCGAAGCATTGCTGGTGTCGGATGGCACCAGCGTGTCCGCAACGATGACGTGCGTAGGCGAGTACTAGGGGGTGATGATCATGCTAGCTCCCCAGAACAACAGATAGCAGTGAATAAGTTGCGTTGGCTCGGGCACGTGCTACGCATGCCTGGTCACCGCTTACCTAGGAGGGCCTTGTTCAGTCTACCAGGTGTCGGATGGCGCAAGGATCGAGGTGGACAGAAGTTGACTTGGCAGCGGGAAATGGAGTCACTGACGACCAAACTGGGTGCCGTTGGTCCGTCTCGCCTTCTGGGTTGGAGTCCACGTGACTCACCTTGTGCTTGGCTCGAGACTTTACAGGACATGACTCGCAACCGACACCAGTGGCGCGACTGCTGCCGTCTCCTAATCGGATTGTCTGTTTAAAGTGTGTTTGGTGCTGAGTTATCTGCGGGGTAATGGCTGATTATGACGCGTGGCAGTGAAAGCCGCAAGGAAGCTGTCTCGCCGAGGCCGCCTTATCTTTGCACGATAGCCAGCTGTTTGTGACGGAATGTTGTTAACACAAGGTGTAGGCGCCTTGACCCTGAATGTTTGCTTAGGGCATTAAGGTTTTCAGGTAAGTCCCGCTTTCTATCCCTCTTCTTATTCTTTATTTCATAGGTCCTCATGGTTGTATGGCAGCGAAGCATCAGTTCAAATGGCTGATGTACTGCTGTTGATGATGATGATGATGATGACTTCTAGTGTCAAGTCAACAAGCTCGGCAGCCAACCCTGTTGTCGCTGCCTCACAAGATAGGTCATGCCAATTTACTTCAGGGAAGTTGAAGTCCCCCATTATCAAGCATCTGTTCGCAGAGTGAGTGCGGATGAAGTCAATGAAACTCCTAGAAGCGCTATCAGGGCTCCTATACAACAGCACACTTTGAAATTGCGTTGATTCGGTACAGACTTCAACTGAAAGAGCTTCAACAGTTTTATCAGTTGAGTTAAAGGTATGTGTTTTGGATATGTTTACACCACATCTGATATACAAGGCGACACCACCGCCACGGCGATCAGATGGGCGGTCAGATCTCAGTATTGCGTAGCCCGGAACGTATAATTCACTGTCCATGACGTCAGAAGACAACCAGGTTTCAGTGAACGCGAGTACATCAGGATGGGAGTGGTCTATTAGGGCCCCTACTTCACACATCTTGTTTCGCAGGCTACGCAGATTACTAAGAACTATGTGAAAACGTTTGGTATGGAGAGCCCCGGGTCGTGTGCTACCAGAATGGGCTCTGGTAGGGTGGAAGTGGACCGGCGGCTCACCACCCGAAAACCCACCAAACATAAACCTTTCTCGCCAGCTTCGCGACGCGCTTTAAGGTTTTTGATGGCTTCTTTAAGCTTTATCCTATCTGCCAAAGGTAGATCCGGCTGTATACTCACTCCGGAACCCTTTAGTTTAAAGGCGAAGCGCAAAAGAGCTTGGCGCTCCGCCGGGGTCTACATTTAGTACTATCACCCGATATGTTTCCAAGCCTAGTAAGTATTTTAACAATAACCCCAGGAAACCCGGGTGGAAGTAGTTTAGAAACGCAAGTTTGAACCAATGTATGTCGTCAAGCATGCGATCTTTCGGAAGAGTCGCAGCGTTTCCACGTT